TGATAAATTTCATATATATACATATATTTTATATATATAATTATATATATACATACATATACTTTTATATAATATATATATGGCGTGTGTGTGAGACAAAGAGAGAAAGGGAAAGGGAGAGAGAGAAAAAGCACAGCGGGCACAAAGGGAGGCTTAGTCGGGACTTATCAATCCCCTGCTTAAACTCCCCAGCAGCGTGCCACTACACTTGAAATAAAATCCACACCATTTACCATGATGTACCAGACCCTGCCCAGCTCAGCCCCTTCCCATCTCTTTGTCCCCATCACCCATCACACTGTCCCTTACTGACTCCACACCTGCCTGCAAACATTATTTCTGTCCTTGAACACAGCTGATCCTTTCTCACCTCAAAGCCCTTGCCCTCAGATCTTCACAAGGCCACCTCTTTCTTGATTATTCAGACCTCAACTCAAATATCTCATTCTCTGAATAATATCTACATAATGGCCCTTTCCTCCGTCATTTTCCATGGCATTACTCTGTTGTATTAGCTTCATAAATTGTTTCCCTATGAAGTTATCTTGTTTACTTATTTACATAATTATTGTCTGCCCCTTTTTCCCTCTGCCCCCCACCCGATGCAATAGAATGGGGACTTCCTGAAAGCAGGGAAGCCTCCTCTGGCTTGCTCACTGTTCTGCCCCAGTGCCTCGAGCGTGCCTGGAGGCTGGCACCTAATTGACATTCATCAAGTATGAACATGGCCTGGAGAAGACAAGAAAGATTCACCAAAGAAAAGTTATAAGTTAAAATATGTCATGAATAGGGAGGGCAGTTAGGGCCAACACCAGGACTTTGGCTGTTAGAATGCAGGGTGCAGGGTGAAGTGTGGAGATAGACTAAAGGGGTGAAGCATCCCAAGGGCTTTTTGGCCAGGAATAGGACTCGAGCCCAGACCCCAGAGCTAGAGTGCAGAGATCAAATGTCAGGGGGCCTCCCTTACCAGATGTGTAACCTGGGACAATCCTAACCTTTCTAATCACTTGTTGCCTCATTTTCAGAAGAGCTGATAATTGCAGTACTCTTCATTGGCTAGTGTGAAGTTTAAACGCGTCACGTGGAAAAATGCCTAGTAGTACCTGAGACATAGTTAGCTAAGCATTTATACTGTGCCCTAGAAGGGAATCACTGAAGAGTTTGAGGAGTAAGGTTATGGGATTCAGATTTGTATTTTATAAAGATCATCAGGTTGGCAGTGGGGAGGATGGACTGGAGGGGGCTGATAAAGCAGAGTCAAGGAAGCAACCAGGTAGTGAAGACAGACCAAGACAAAGCAGTGGCAGCAAGGCTGATCCAAGAGTTATTAAGACAGTGGACTCTGGCATCAGTTTGAGGAGGGAGATAAGGGAAGGAGATGATTCAGTGGGTGGCTGGTGGTGCCATTTGCCCATATGGGAAATACAGGAGGGAACCCAGTTTGAGAGCCAGGATGGGAAGGGAGGGTGAGGAGGTGTGATTTCTTCAGCTGTGGCTGGCTGAGTTAAGTGTTATGGAAACTCCAGGTGGAACTTCCCAGAGAGAAAACCCCCACATCTTTCTGATCACAGTATAACCCTAACGTGATTAGCATTGTACTTATCAGTACTTAATAAATATTAGCACTTAATATTTGGTGTTTAAAATTTTTGCTTTTGAAGAAAATATTGTGAGAAACATTTTTGTCCACATTCAAGTTTTTTCCTTTTAGACTTCTATATGTAGAATTACTGGGGCAAAAGGTATGTTATCTTTTGAAGAATTTAATTCATCTTGCCAAATTGCTTTTCAAAAATTTCATCCCAACAATATACTCCCACAATAACCTGGGATTTTTAAAAAGCAGCTTAAATGTTTTTTATAAATACCACTCCCAAGTTGCCAGGGTATGGAGAACAGTCCTCTTGTGTGTAGGGATAAACCTAAGCATCAACTTCAGCTCCTTCCTTAAAAATTAACAATTGCCTTTTTGTCTTAGGGAAACTCCCAAAGTCAATGTCTGTTATTCATTAACATGTTGCAATACCACAACCCAAATCATATTCTTGAAAACACGATGATGTGTAAAATACAAACACTATATATGTAAATACTCCCATGAGGTCTGTGGATGGGGGTATAAGGAGAAGGCACTTAGAGAACAAAAAGTTCTGTTGTACCAAAACTACATTAACACTGTCTTCCACCACCCCCTGCCCCACCAGAGAACTTCCTTTACCACAGTTTAGTGGATATACACGGAAGGAAATTCCATTTCCTTTGAATCAATACATGGGTTATAAGAGGGTACCATTCACCAATTTTAACCCAGAATAAGCTAAAACTTCTTTTTAATACATACATCAATAGATTTTCATCAAGCTAAAGAAGAGCCATTTTCCCTGAAGACAGCATTTTGGTCAGTTCCACATACGGTTATCACGAATTGTTGGTCATTCAGGTGCTTTCTGTGGTTTTTGTTACTGTTTTTCTTACACTGACCACATACAACTGAGACACCTCAGGGTAACAGAACCCAAGAAAGTCTATGATATGTTTGCTATCCTTTTCTGTGAATGCTCGCTTTGTGTTTATTAGAATTAGATTTGTACATTACAAAACCAATGTAGATTTAATGAAGATTTATCTGTTGTCTTTTTTAGAAAGTCCTTATGAAGGAAACTTGGGTACACTGTTCTTGTCCATGTGTTGTATTGAGTTGAATATTTGTTTTGTGTTTCTCATAATCCACTGGAGGCCATTTAACTCGGTGGCCTGCAGCAGCAACACTTGCCTCTTCTGTTTAGAGCAAGGGTCCCCAACCACTGGGCCGTGGACCAGTATCAGTCCATGGCCCATAGGAACCGGGCTGCACAACAGCAGGTGAGTGAGCATTACCACCTGAGCTCCACCTCCTGTCAGATCAGCAGCAGCACTAGATTCTCCTAGGAGCATGAACTCTATTATGAATTGCACATGCAAGGGATCTAGGTCGTGCACTCCTTATGAAAATCTAACTGATGGCTGATGATCTGAGGTGGAACAGCTTCAATCATTCCCCACCCCACCCTGCCACTGGTTTACAGCCTTAACCATCCATCAAGGTTTGAAGGGAGATTCATAGCTTTTGGAAGACTTTCTTACACTTAGTCCACAGTTGCTGTTCTCAGGAGTTAATGGGAGGAGCCCACAATTATTCAAAAGAGGCTGGGTCTAATTTGTATCAAGTGGGACTCACGTCAAGTAGGGAAGCAATAAAGACTGTTCATCTCTTGTAAATCATGATTCTTTTCTTCTAGTGAGCACAAATCAGGGGTGGATCCATCAAAGAATGGGAAGACATGATACTTTTGCTTGAATGTGGACTTGGTAGCTCCAAAATGGTCTCCTTTGCTATTGGGATGGTCATCAATGCTTGAAGGAAATTGCTGTGGTTGTGATGGGGGGTTTAGTAGTATATAATGCATCTCACTACTAGAGAGTCAATCAGATGTCCCTGGTCCTCCTGGGGCTGTCTGCTGTTATATTTAAGAGTTCACTTCCCATCCATTGTGTCCATTTGTAAGAGAGGCTCTCCAAAAGAACACAATAGCAAGTTTACACATACTGTTGAGCCTGTTTACCACAGCGATCTCAAAATCATAGTGGTCCTGCCTGTTTTGTTGTTGTTCTTTACATTCTTTGTGTCTATTTCTATACACTGCACCGATTATACTATAAAGCTATTTTGTGATAAGAAGAATTGAGAGAGACTGAAACCAAATCTTTCTCTCGAGCTACAAAAGTTATCTGAAAATAGAAAGAGACCTACCCATATTTTTTAAAAATTACACTTGTTATCCAGTTATAGCTATAATGGCAACTTATAAAACCATAGAATTTTAGATGTAGGTTATATGGGGAAAGTGAATATAGTCCTCCCTTGGTATCTGTGGGGGTTGGTTTCAGGACCCCAGTGGATATAAAAATCCATTATAAAATGGTATAGTATTTGCATATGATCTATGCACATCCTTCCATATACTGTAAATCATCTCTAGATTTCTTATAATACCTAATACAATATAAATGCTGTGTAAATTGTTGTTATACTTTATTTTTACTTGCATTATTTTTTATTGTTGTGTTGTATTGGATTTTTTTCCCTAATATTGTCTCCGTGGTTGGTTGTATCCTGGATGCTGAGTGCGCAGTAGGGAGGCCTGACTATTAGAAACCAGCTGCTGTGTAACATTGGCCTCTAGGAAAACGTGTCTCCTGGTCAAACAAGTTAGGGAAAGCCTGTATCCTGTATCTTCCTCCTTCTGGATATTAACAATGAAAAGTCAACTGTAACTCAGCATTTTCCAAACTTATTTGATTACAGAATCTTTTTTACCCTGTATAATAGCTGTTAACACCCTGCGTGTAGGAAATGAGTCCAGTCACACCATGGAGGTCCAGAAAATTAAGCCACTTGCCTGAGGTCACAGAGCAGTAATGACAGAGCCATGGCGGGACCCCACTGCTAGCTGATAGCCTCCCTCAGAATGGCTGCATACTTGTGTTGCCAGCAATGGCTTCAAAAGGTGTTCAAGATTATGTTTCTTTGAAATTGATTTAAAGAGTGATTTCTAAAGTTGTAGGATCCTAGTTTAATTTGGAGAGATTTATCTGTTAGCATATAGAAAATGTGTCAACTGGCCCATTCAATTTAGTAGTACTCTTTATTCAGATGCATCAGAAATGGGACCCGAATCGTATGCATGGTGGAGAACAAAACGTTCCTGAGGCGCTCAGTGTGAGGGGTGGGGAACGGAGAAAGCCAATAAGCAATTAAACAAGTAAATATGTAGTTACAAATTATGCTGCGTGCTATGTATGTGCTGTCAGATTGAGCTTAAATTTGCAGTCATTTTTTAATTGACCCAGAACCAAAGGAATCAATAGCAGTTGTTTTTATGGTTATCTGAATATTGAATATTCAGCTCATAACGACAGTTTGCACCACGTGACAGCCTCTCCCCTTCTTGTTTTTCCAGCCCAGTGGAGCAAAATGAGAGCGCAGTGAGCCAGGCCCAGCTTCTCTCCTAGCCATCCCCGACTCCCACCATGAACCACTTGGAGGGGTCTGCGGAGGTGGAGGTGACCGACGAGGCGGCAGGTGGGGAGGTGAACGAGTCGGTGGAGGCCGACCTGGAGCACCCCGACGTAGAAGAGGAGCAGCAGCAGCAGCCGCCACAGCAGCAGCACTATGCGGGCCGCCACCAGCGCGGGGGCGCCCTCGAGGACCTCCGCGCCCAGCTCGGTCAGGAGGAGGAGGAGCGTGGGGAATGCCTGGAGCGCTCAGCCAGCACCGAGAGCGGCTTCCACAACCACACGGACACCGCCGAGGGCGACGTGATCGCCGCGGCCCGCGACGGCTACGATGCGGAGCGTGCACAGGACCCCGAGGACGAGAGCGCCTACGCTGTGCAGTACCGGCCGGAGGCCGAGGAGTACACGGAGCAGGCGGAGGCCGAGCACGCCGAGGCCACGCACCGCCCTGCACTGCCCAACCACCTGCACTTCCACTCGTTGGAGCACGAGGAGGCCATGAACGCGGCCTACTCAGGCTATGTCTACACGCACCGGCTCTTCCACCGCGGCGAGGACGAGCCCTACGCTGAGCCCTACGCCGACTACGGTGGTCTTCAGGAGCACGTGTACGAGGAGATAGGGGACGCGCCGGAGCTGGACGCGCGCGATGGCCTGCGGCTCTACGAGCAGGAGCCCGACGAGGCGGCCGCATACCGCCAGGAGGCCCTGGGCGCGCGGCTGCACCACTACGACGAGCGCTCAGACGGCGAGTCTGACAGCCCCGAGAAGGAGGCCGAGTTCGCGCCCTATCCGCGCATGGACAGCTACGAGCAGGAGGAGGACATCGACCAGATCGTGGCCGAGGTCAAGCAGAGCATGAGCTCGCAGAGCCTCGACAAGGCGGCCGAGGACATGCCCGAGGCCGAGCAGGACCTGGAGCGACCCCCTACCCCGACCGGGGGTCGCCCCGACAGCCCCGGGCTGCAGGCACCGGCGGGGCAGCAGCGGGCGACAGGCCCCGCTGGCGGCGGCGAAGCAGGGCAGCGGTACAGCAAGGAGAAGCGCGATGCCATCTCGCTGGCCATCAAGGACATCAAGGAGGCCATCGAGGAGGTGAAAACCAGGACCATCCGTTCGCCTTACACCCCCGACGAGCCCAAAGAGCCCATCTGGGTCATGCGCCAGGACATTAGCCCCACCAGGGACTGTGACGACCAGAGGCCGATGGACGGAGATGTAAGTCGGTGCGGGTTCGGGCTTCCTCGGCCCCATGCGGCGGGAGGGAAGATGGCGCCCCATGGCCTTGTGTGCCCTTGGGTAGTGGCTTTATGGGAAATGGTTTGTGGGGAGGCTAATAACTTTTCCACCCTAAGCCTCAGAAGCAGGTTGCACCTAAACTCTCAAATACCAGCGGGAGAGAAAGTGTTGAATGCACTCGTCAGATTGTTAGCAGGATGGCTTCAAATCAGTGCTTCCCACACTGTGCCTGGAGGCCTTGTGAGAAATGCTTTCTTGGGTACATTGCCCTCCACCCCCAGTTTCTGATTCAGAAAGAGTGGGGTGGGGCCCGAGAATTTGTATTTCTAATGCCAAATAAAAAAACAAGCCCTGATTGAGGAAGGGGAGACTTCCTTGGAAAGGATTATTGCAAAGGGGAGAAAGATACTGTTTCATTATAGGGAGGAAGGACTGTTGCGGTAGGAGAACCTCTGACCTTAAGATCTTTAAGGGTCTCTAGGGTTAGGAACAAGGGGGAAGTTGTTTTATAGGGAGGAGTAGCTAAGTAGAAAGAACGGGGTGTGTGAAAGTGGCGTGAAAAGGGTGGGAGTTGAATGTGCCGTGGATCAGAGAATGTTTCTACCTGAGACCAGCGTTTTCTCAGGAGTGGTAGTATGCTGGCCAAAGTTCACGCACCTGGAGGAAGGAGAGACCCTTAACCAAAGTTTGGTTAGCAAGCAGTTCAGCTGATGGTTGGTGAAGAAAGAATGGAAATGTGGAGGGTCTGCGTCTGGCCTTGTCATAGGTAAACAAGAGGAGCATCCCTATCCCTGTTCTAAGTCAGAGGAGAAGGAGTTTCCCAGAACACAAAAGGATGGGAGTATTTCTTCATTTTGTTTCTCTGGTTCTCAGGTAAAGTTCAATGTTGTCACTAACAAGTTCCTAAAAATGCTGGTCCCAGGACCACAATTTGAGAACTGCCTTAAATCAATCCCTTGAAGATTTGGGATGGGTAGTGTGCCCTCTTTGGAGGAAATCCTTCCGAGCCTTTTTCTGCCAGGGGTTTCTGCAGTTTTGTTTGTTTGTTTGTTTGTTTTGTTTTGAGATGGAGTCTTGCTCTGTCACCCAGGCTGGAGCTCAGTGATGCGATCTCTGCTCACTGCAACCTCTGCCTCCTGGGTTCAAGCAATTCTACCTCAGTCTCCCGAGTAGCTTGGATTACAGGCAAGTGTCACCACGTCCAGCTAATTTTTGTATTTTTTAGTAGAGACGGGGTTTCATAATGTTGGCCAGGCTGGTCTCGAACTGCTGGCCTCAAGTGATCCACTCACCTCAGCCTCCCCAAGTGCTGGGATTACAGATGTGAGCCACAGCATCTGGCCGGTTTCTCCAATTTTTTTGTTTCGGTTTGGTTTTTTGAGACAGAATTGTACTCTTTTTGCCCAGGCTTCAGTGGAATGGTGCGATCTTGGCTCACAGCAACCTCCACCTCCCAGGTTCAAGTGATTCTCCTGCCTCAGTCTCCTGAGTAGGTGGCATGACAGGCGCATCCACCATGCTCAACTAATTTTGTATTTTTAGTAGGGATGGGGTTTCACCATGTTGGCTAGGCTGGTCTTGAACTCCTGACCTCAGGTGATCTGCCTGCCTTGGCCTCCCAAAGTGCTGGGATCACAGGTGTGAAACACCCTGCCCGGCCTCTGCAGTTTTTTCACCCACCCTATGCCTCATTGTGGGCTTCAGTAGGTGCATAATTTTCACATCTGGTTGTATCAGGTCATCCTTCCCACTTCACAAAAGATATGTATTCTGTTTTAAACCAAATTGTGTTTCATTGTGAAGAGCTACACAAAGTAATTGATACCACTGTTGACATTTTCCATTTTTTAAATACCTAGGAAATGTTATAACATGGCAAGCTTAGGTGTCATTATCTGTTCAGAATACATCAGAAAGACTAACTTTTGCTCTGACTCCTTTGCTATAAAGATTCTCTCTGCTTCTACTCTCCCTTTCCATACTCTTGAATAATTTTTAGGCCTTTCATTTTAAAATGGATCTTAGAGTAAGATAAGGGTCAAGAGCTTATATTCAATTTCATTTAATTCTACATTTTATGATTGCACCAGGACGTTTCTCAATACATATCTTTCGAGTGAGAAACCATTATTGTAAGGTATTTGTTCATTTTACTTACACATAAAGAGCTATGCAGGTCAGAGTGGTAGCATTCACCTCCTCTTTAAGGAATAGTCAGCATTTGCTGTTAGCGGATTAGAAAAGGTTGGAAACCAGTAGGGAAGGGAATTTCATTTCTCTCCAGCAAGGGGGCAGCATTGGGTCAGTGAGTTCAGACATATCCTGTCTCTCTCTTTTCTAGGCTTCTGATTCAGTGAAAAACAGGTGCACTCACATGTAGAATTCTCCTTGACCTCCAGCTGTCTCCAGATTCCTCCCAGCTAGGAGGGATTGCAGCAAGCATTTTGCAAATGAGGTGGAAATAGAGCAGGTTTTCAAAAGTAGGGAGTTGGCAAAAGGCTGACTTCTGTATCCTTTTAGAAACCTGGAAAGCCACCAGAGGAAAAAGCTGCAGGCACAGTTGGTCCAGATGCTGGCCTCTTCCTTCAGCTTTCTCCAGTGCGCCAGCTCCTTGAAATGACCTGCTTAACCAATTGCCCCTGCAGCCTCCCAGTGAGCCCACAGCACAGCCTATGGTAGGGCTAGAGGCTGGCTTTTATTCATTTGAACTAGGAGAACAACTTAACTCTCTTGCATGCTGTTTCATTCAAAAGGTAAAATTAATTATAGAACATTGTATGATGCTTTAGGAACCCACTATGTCAGAAATTCAGCTTGATGCTAAGAAATCAGTATGGATCACTGGGTTATGAATAGTTAATATGAAGTGAAACTGAAAACCTGTGCTTTAGAGTATTCCAGCAGTCATTTTTAAGCTATTTGTGGGTTGTATTTCATCTGTCATGCCATATTTATAGGAAAGACCTTCCTTTGCTGCCTCTGTAATGGTCTTATGAGAATATAATGATATTATATTCTGTTGATTTCCATCTCAGCATCAAAAAATATTTACTGAACACTCATTCTCCATGTACGCTGTTACAGAAAATGGAAAGGTGTTTTAAAGCCATGTGGCCTGAAGTCTGTCTGGGTGATACTTATTAGAAATGCAAGTTACTGCCCTTCCTTTCCAAACCAGAATACCTGATGTGGGGCTCAGTGATCTGGTTTTTTGTTTCATTTTATTTTATTTTGTTTTGTAAACTTTCTCTGAGATTCATGAGCATGTGAAAGATTGAGAAGTAATGATTTAAAGGAAAAAATGTATTATCTGGGCACTTTCCCCATGTCAGTGCTGTGGATATAAGATTTAACTAAATCTTTTATTAGCACAGATAAAGTTTTAACAAAAAGAGCTATCTCACTGTGATTATGGTCAGCAGACCTGGAGAAATGGTATTCTTACAAAAGCAGTATTTTGAGTATTTGCATTCTCAAAGTGGCAAGATCAGAAACTATAATGAAGCAAATAAAAGGAGACAAAAAAACCTGTATTGCCATTTGTCACCCACCATTGCTAATTGCTAAATCTGCTTTTAACACTACTTTTAATTCCCCCAGAACTTAAGCACTTTTTTCTTGGAGCAAACTGGCATTTGTTTGCTGGTGAGTTGTGTAGAGAGAGAAAACGGGATTGCTTTTCCATAAGAGTTTACTGAACACATCTATTACATGCTCAGCACTGAGAGAAAATAACTGTGTTCTAAACATTTGAAAAAATACTTAATGTGCTTTTCTTCTAGTAAGGGGTTTCCATTTTCTAAATATATGCTTGAGAAGTAGCTCCCAATCCCCTTCTTGAAAAATATTGATAATGAAGACCTGTCCTTTTCCTTTTTTTTGGTTTTGTTTTGTTTTTGAGATGGAGTTTTGCTCTGTTGCCCAGGCTGGAGTGCAGTGGCGCAATCTTGGCTCACTGCAACCTCCACCTCCCAGGCTCAAGCAATTCTCCTGTCTCAGCCTCCCAAGTAGCTGGGACTACAGGTGCATGCCACCATCCCCATCTAATTTTTGTATTTTTTAGAAGAGACGGGGTTTGTGCCATATTGGCCAGGCTGGTCTTGAACTCCTGACCTCAGGTGATCCACCTGCTTCAGCCTCCCAAAATACTGGGATTACAGGCATGAGCCACCAAGCCCAGCCTGAAGACCAGTTCTGAAAACCCATAGCCTACTGATCTGTCTATAGGCAACAGAATCATTCAAGAACAGAGTCACAGTAGACTCAGGGAGATTGATGCTAGCAAGCACACGGTGTAAACTGGATGGTTTTGGCTACTTTAAGTGGTGTGGTATATAGCTTGAGATGATGTTTATCTCTTCTCCCTCCTAGAATTCCAGTAAAATAATAAAAAGCACAAACGCTGACAGAGGAAACAGTAACAGATGAGCACAACAAAATTTGACAACACGCAAGTGGTAACTGGCTGTGATGGAAGGGTTAGTGTGCCCCAGGATTTCCAGTTCTTTTATTTTTTCAAACACGGAGAAGACTGCACTTCCTCATCCTCTAGAAGTTAAGCATGGCCAGGGAAACGTGAGCCCTGAAGTGTATTGCCTCCAAGTGGGAGCAGCTAAGACCATGCTTTCTTCCCCGGTGGAAACAAACCCCAAAGCCTTATGTTAAGGGGGCAGCCTCACAAGATGGGTGTGCCCCTGTCAGCACAGGTCCCTTGAAACCACAATGAGTAGGGCTCCCTGGGACATGTATTCTGAGAGAGGAATCAACCTTTATCGTTTTAAGCCACAGAGATTTTTGGGGTGGTTTGTTATCACCGCACAGCCTGGTCCATCCTGACTAACACACTGATGAGGTTTCTGTTTTCTGTCTTCTGCCAAGTGTTTGTGAGGATGTGTGCAGTAGACACCCCCCCAAAAAGACTTAAGAATTTGAGACATAGATACCTCAGGTGGCAGATATATGAGGAGTATGGCTGAAAA